TAACAATCAGAAGTCATAAAATATTCTGCACATTTTTTTTTTTGTTATTTAGGTGATCTGAGAAATTGTGTGGATTTTTTGTAAATTTTTAACAGTTGAAATGTAATGTGTTTTCACTAGACTGGAAAAGGTGTTAATAAACTTACTGGTGAAGGTTTTGCTTTCACAGGCTTACTATGTAGGTTAAAGATTTAATTTAATTTACCATGTGATCTGCCTTATTGACAACCTTGCATGGTAGGGGCACAGTTGATGCTTATTGCTTGATTTCAGTCAGAATGAATATGCTGTCATAATAGGAGTTCAAACTCACCAGCCCCTCCGCAGAAGGAGGACCGGGCAGTCTACTTCAGTAAAGATTCACCACCTCAGAAACCCAAAGGGGTCATTGTGAGTTGGAATCGTCTCCATGGCAGTACGCTTGGGGTTTTTTGGTTAATAATAGGAGACCTTACGATATGGTTGTGAAGAACTTGGGCTTGAGAATCAAGCAGATCTGGGTTCAAACTCCAGCCCTTCTTACTAGCAATATGGCTTTTGCACTTCAATGATTTAACCTCTCTCATCTCAGTTTACTTGTCTATAAAATAAGGGTAATGCCACATGTCTAACAGAATTCTTAAGGATTAATGACAGTGTACAGTAAAGCACTTTGCCTGATGTATAGAAAATTCTCAGTGGATGATAGCTATAGCCGCTAATATCATATAATTCAAAAAGCATATTGTCTTCTACTAGGAAGACTTTAAGCTGAGTGTTTCTCTTGGAGATGGAATGCTTAATAATCAGGACTAACTGGCTATACTTGAAATACAGGCTTTGTTTCTATATTAAGAACACAAGGTGATTTTAAGTTGAAGGACAAACAATTACTGTTAGTGCCATCGCCCAAACTATAATGGTAAATAATGTAGGTAAAATTTACTCCTTTCCATTTTCCTTTCTTTACTTGTTTCATCTTACACTCTGAATACCTGCTGGATCTGTAAAACTAGCATATCTCCTTCCAGTGTAACAGACACCTGAGCTGTGTCCCCTTCCTGTCCTCTTCTAATCCAAACTCTAGCTCTGTTAAGAGGGGTTGATTTTTAATAAGATTGGAGAGAAACAACCAAGGGTCAATTTTAGTAATTTATACCAATTTGTAACTAGCGAAAAGATTTAAACTTCATTTACTTTTAAAGAAGACTTTTCTTTAACCAAAAGAATCTTACTTTGGGGCAAAGTATTGGTAGGTGGTGGTAGCGGGGGTAACTTTGTGCAAGTAAAGCAGTCAGTGGCGTTGTTAGTGCTGCCCTGACTTGGCTAGCTTACACACCTCCACAGTCAGTGGGCACTAGTGTGCCTTTAAACAGTTGGAGGCAGTCATAACATAGCAAGGAGCTCAGGCTTTGGAGTTAGTGTATGCTAAGGATTCCATCCTTTCCCACTTAAATTACTGCAACATCACACAGGTTACTTACTTTCTTCAGTCCTTAGCTTCCTCATTTGTAAACACCACAAAAGTACCACCTCATAGAATTGTGAGGATTATACAAGATTGCATTTGTAAAAGTACTTAACACATAGTAAGCATTTGCTCTGTGTAAGCTATTGCCATTATTGTTTTGTCAGATTGAACATTTTCAATTTTTTTTTTTCTGTTTTTATTGGGTGAAGTGTTCTGTAAATGGCAGTAAGGTCAAGTTCATTGATCAGGTATTCTGTTGTTACCAGTGTTTTTGTTCACTTGTTCTATTAATTATTGAGAGTAGTGTTGAAATTTCCAATTTTTGTGAACTCATTTATTTCCCCTTTTAGTTCTGTCAATTTTTGCTTGAGTTACTTTGAAGCTGTTAATAGGTGTGAACCAAAAACAAAACTCACTGTTGTCGAGTTGGACCTGACTTATAGTGACCCCTCTTTGGGTTTCCGAGGCAGTATCACCCAAGTAGATCACCCAGTGTGTACACACTTTAAATTGTTATGTTTCCTTGAATTGACACCATTTTTATTTTCCTATTTATTTAGGTTCCTCTTTATTCCTGGTAATACTTTGTGTCCTGAGATCTGCTTTGCCTGGTATTAATAGTTACTCCTGCTCATTTTTATTGTTTGCATGGTATATCCTTTTCCATTTTTTAAGTTTTCAACAGATCTGTGTTTGTGTATTTTAAATGATTTTCTTGCAGGCAGTATATATTGGAGTTTTGTTGTTTCTTTTGTTTTCTTTTTCAATCTAACCTGACAGTCTCTGCCTTTTTAATTGGACTGTTTAGACCATTTACGTTTAATGTGTTTTTGATAAGGTGGAATGTGAATTTATCATTTTCCTTATTTGTTTTCAATCCCATTTGGTTATTGTTCCTTTTGTCCTCTTCCTGCTTTTATGGATTGAATTGTGTCGCCTAAAAATAGGTGTTATAAATCCTAACCTCTATGCCTGTGGTGAAAGGAGCCCTGGTGGCACAGTGGTTAAAGCATTCAGATGCCAACAAAAAGATTAGTGGTTTGAACCCACCAACCGCTCCATGGAAGAAAGATATGGCAGTCTCTTTCCATAAAAATTTATATCCTTGGAAACCTTATGAACAGTTCTGTGTCTTATGAGTCGCTATGACTTGAATGGACTCAATGACAATGGGTTTTTTGTTTCTGTCTTTCAAATGTCTGTAGTTATAATGGGAACTCTGGTGGCATAGTGCCTAGGGCATTTGACTGCTAACCAGAAGGCTAGCGGTTCAAACCCACCAGCCACTCCTTGGAAAGAAGATTGGGCAATCTATTTCTGTAGAGATACCACCTCGGAAACCCAAGGAGAGGTCGCTATGAGTCATATTCAACTCAACAGCAATGAGTTTATTGAGTAGTTACAATACCATTTGGGAATGAGTTGTCTTTGTTATGCTAATGAGGCATAAGTAGTGTAGGGTGTATCTTGAGTCAGTCTCCTTTGAGATATAAAAGGGTTACACAAGCTAGCCAGCAGAGAAGGGAGAAGAGAGATGCCAGGCCACATGAAAACTGCCCAGGAGCAGAAGCTCAAAAGAGACAAGGACCTTCTCGCAGAGCTGATGGGGAGAGAGCCTCCCGCTAGAGCTCACACCCTGAATTCAGACTTCTGGCCTCCCAAACAGTGAAGAGTAATTGTTTTCAGTTTGGGAGCCTCATTTGTGTTATAGAAGCACTAGATAACTAAGGCAGAATTTGGTACTGAGAAATGGGGATGCTGCGCTAACTAATACCAACCGTGTGGAAGTGGTTTCAGAATTGAGTAATGGCTGGAGACTGGAGGAGTTTTAAGGTGCCTAATAATAAAAGCCTAAATTGCCTTGAAGAGACTGTTGGTAGAATCAAGGATGTCCAAGGCGGTTCTGGTGAGGGCTCAGAAGGAAGTGAGGAGAGCTGCAGAGAAAGTCTGTATCATCTTAGAGAATACCTACAGCAGAATATTGATAAAAATATGGATGTTAGATGTGCTGCTTGTGAGGCTTTAAAGGGAAATGATGAATATGTGATTGGACAGTGGAGGCAGGGCAGTTCTTTTTACGCAGTGGCAAAGAACTTGTTTCATTTATTTTCAAATGTTTGGTAGAAGGTAGAACTTACAAGTGATGAACTTGGATATCTGGCTGAGGAGATTTCTAAGCAAGATCTCAATGGGGTGTGTGGTTTCTCCCTGCCATCTTAGAGTAAAATGTGGAGGAAGGAGATGGACTTAAAAATGAACTAAAATTTAATAGTATATTCTTTTACTTAATTAGTAGGTTTTTCTCACTTGAATAAACTAGTTACTCTAATAGGTGTGTTGCTTTTATCATCTTAAAACTTTATTATGACTTAGCATTAAAATGTATCTTTTGAATAAAATCAAGAGTTTAAATCTTAAAGTTAGAAAAAAGGATTATATTACTGAGAAAACATTTAATAGGTTGATTTTAATATCTTCAGAAGATATGTTCTCTTCGTAACTGTGTTTTATTTTATTTTTTGCGTATAAAAGAAACTCTGGAAGTAGAGGCCATTCAATTCCTTGTGATTATTGTATGTCATCGAGTCAGTTGCAGCTCATAGTGACCCTGTGGGACAGAGTGGAACTGCCCCATAGGGTTTTCTAGGCTGAAATCTTTATGGAACAGGATGACACATCTTTCTCCTGCGGAACAGCTGGTGGGTTCAAACTGCCAATATTTTGGGTAGCAGCTGAGTGCTTAACCGTTGCGCCACTTGGGCTCCTTTTAATTCTTTGCAGGTCCTCTGAGAGTACGGTCCCACATCAGGAGGTGTAGAACGTGATTGGTCTGGGCTGGTCCATACTTTCTGAGAGCACGTCCTCTCTGTGCACCCCCTTGTCCCTGCAGTGATCACACTTCCCTTCAGTGTATCAATTTGAAAAGTGGCCCGAGCCGAGGGCCCTGAGCCATCTGCTTGGCCACTGTGTCATTGGCTCCCCTGCCTCTAGGTGGAGCACTGTCGTGTTCTCTGCCCCTGTGTACGTGCTCGTCCATTTTGCACGGATTGATTGGCAGGCGGAATGGTAGGTCAGCTGATTGTGAGTCCCCGTGCTGCAAGTTAGTCTTTCCCTTTTGGGCAGGTCAAAGGGGATCTGAAAAGTTACCTAGCACTTTGTACTTGTCTTGATTGTTGTTTTACATGTTGTTGACTATTTTGTAAACTTATGCAATCTGAGAAAGTTGTTGCAGATAGTGGTGCCTTTTCAGGGTTAATGATTAGATACATAGATCAAAGCCTAGTATTTGGGCCAACAAAATACTAATAGAGCAGCTTTTATGTGACTAGGAATGTCTTCTAAGTCATGTAGTTTTATCTCTTGTACTTCTATTCACTTTTTAATAGATTGAGCTTACGTTAGGAAAACTGTCCAAATACTTCAATGTAAAATTATTTCGAGTTTAACTTTGATTAAGCACTATTTAAATAACCTTAAATTAGATCTCGGAGTAACTCTCTGCATGGATCCTCTGTGTCATGAAACTGATTTTGTTTAATTTTCCCAGCAGAAATCCAGGAAGCAAAAGCTCCCAGCCCTTCCATAAACCGGCAAACCAGCATTGAGACGGACAGAGTGTCTAAGGAGTTCATAGAATTTCTCAAGACGTACCACAAGATAGGTCAAGAAATCTATAAGCAGACCAAGATGTTTTTGGAAGCAATGCATTACAAAAGGGTAGGTTGAGAATAACTACTTAAAAACATGGAAGTTTGGTTTTGGGAAAGGTCTTAGAGATAATCTAGTCCAACCTTGTCATTTTACTCCTGAGAAAATCAAGACTTGGTTAAGTTACTTACCTAAGGGAAGCCACTGAGCCAGGTTAAAACTCAGCCCCCAAGCTAGTACTTTTCCACTGCAACTCGATGGTATCTGCATCATCTGTGCCTGGCAAGTCAGGCATTGAAGACACTCGGGTGCTGTGCTTGAGTAATAGGCCTTCCTCACTTGTGACTCGTAAGTGGTGTAAACTACAGAGAGGGCCAGAGTAGGTCTAACACTGAGCAGCAGTTGTAGACCAGTAGCAGTAATGTTAGAGTTCTGTTTTTTTTTTTTGTTTGTTTGTTTCTAATTTTCCTCTCTTTGCTCAGTTAGAGAAGGGAAAGATAGACTTTAGACGTGAATAGGACCTCAGCACCTCTCTGGCTTCAGTCCCTTTCTTTTATAGATAGGGAAGCTGAGTGCTGGAGAGGGTAACTTGTCCAAGGTCACACAGCCAGACTTAGACAGCTCAGAACCAGAACTGGTGACTTCCATGCGTAGGTCTTTTTTGACGCATACACTCAGTTTTGATAATTCGTAGTGACAGACTGCCCATATGGGGACTCATTTTGTAAATAGTTGCTAATTCTCTTATAACATACTACAGCCATTAACTCAGAATTATCTCTCAGAGTTCCTTCAGTGATGTGAGGAAGTCTTCGAGAGGAAGGAGAAGCGAATCAGAAGATAGCATGGTCATGAACTGCTTAGCTGCATTCAACTGTGGGCAGAGATCCGTAGGCTGAAAAGCAAAATGACCTTCTCCCAGAATGCTGTTACAATATTGAAGTCAGTCAGTAGGGAGAAAAGAAGCGTCTACCCTGCTGTCCAGGATTGGGGCTCCCCCAGGAATAAGGAAACAGCCCTTTTCCTCTAGGTGCTTGTGAGCAAACAGTGACACTCTGTGGAATCAGCACTCGGTCATCACCTTTTGGTTTGTTTTTGTTAGAAGCAGTGGTAGATTGCTCTTGAATATGGGGAAAAAGCACAGCTCATGTGACACATAGCTTTAATTTGTTTTGATCAAAAGTAAAAATTGAGGTTTCTAAGTTATTTATTCTCATATATGGATGGGTCACAGGATACATTGTATCATATTAGCACATAGTCTATAGTACACATAGCATGTAAACTATATGATACTACAGTTTAGAAAACAGCTTAGCTTGAGTTTGTTCATTGTCCTTTTGCTCAGAAATCTAATGTACCCTTGGTGTGTGACACTGTGGTTGACTTTATGTCAGTGTGCTAAAGTAAGAGGGAATTAAATGGTGCAGCCACCACCGTGCGTAATGGGTTCAAGACATCACTGATTGGTATAGGAGACCTGGACTTGGCCTCAGGTTCCTTCTATTTTAAGAGTCACTGTGAAACCTTTTTTCCATTTCTGCGCTAAGTGTTTGATGGTCAGCTGGCCAAGTCCTGTGGGTATATCTCATGCATCTAGCTGCATGCCCGGTACATACCTGATAGTCAGTAGTTATTTCTTAAGCTGCATGTTCTCTAGGGAAGTCATTGTTGCCTTTGGCTACAAGTTAATGTCCTTTCATGTAACTAAGCAAATAAATACAACTTCAACTCACCTAACTAACCCTAGCTTAACATCATTTAACCATACACATTTCCTGAGAAAATGGATTGAGCACATCTTGGGGAAGTTTCTTTGATGTGGTGAAGTGTGCAGTAGTGTACAATGTCAAGCACTAGGAAGGGCCTGAGATTTACCCACCCCAAGACTAACAACTTAGCCTGCCACAGTTTCACGGGCACTTTCAGAAGTCACGAGTCTCCTGGGTCCTAGACAAAGTAGTTTTATTACTCACACCAGTAGGAGTGGCCAGAAGATCAGTGTAAGGAGATAGCCTCTCTCACGAACATCACTAGAAGAAACACATCCTCACCCACTGTCTTTCCCAGGTGTTTGTATGAAAAAGGGTACTCTTTGCTGTCACTGTCATGCCTGTTGAGAGGTGATTGTTAACGATAGATGAGATAAGAAAAAGAAACGGGAGCTTTCCTGTGTAGCCATTTCCTGTGTGGTCTGTCCTTCTTGCTTGCTTGTAACTGCCACAGATGGTATCATTCATTTGCCTTTCACTCTTCCCAGTCATCTGAAAGCCCCTGAGCATTTTGTTAATCTTTGCATTTCATTGTCTGGTACAGGGGCTGGCAGTTCTACTAGTTACATAATAAGTGTTTTTAGAATGAATAGAAATATAATTTCCAGATGTTATTATTTTACCAGGGAAACAGTACTAATAGAGATACAAATTCAGCAAAATGGCATAATATGAGATAAATCCATAAAGTTCTGATGCAGTGTGATCTACCAGTGATGAAAAGTAATGCACGTAGCTCATTTGAAAATAAATAAATAGTTTTAAAAGACAATAGCAACAAAGAGTATTAATTATTGAGAACTTAACCTAATATGGAAAATTAAGAGTTTTTTTCAGAGAATTGAAGGACTGTTTGAAGATTGTATCTTGGATCTAGTTGAGAAAAAGAATAATTTTTTTTTTTTTTTTTATTAGGATTTGGGTGAAGATTTACAGAGTAAATTCACTGAGAAAAAGAATAATTTAACAATATTTCATAGGACAATGTAAGCACTTAAAGTATTTAAATTACAGTGTTACATTGTTTAGAACAACAAGGAAACACATAGACCATATAAATTTTTTTGAGGGGAAGGCAGTTTCTATAGCTAGCAGACTTCAAAATAGATTCTGAAATGAAAATCATAACTAGATGAGATTTTGGTAAAATAAAACTGTTGATGAATGAAATAAATTAGGGATTCCAGAAATAACTTCAGTTTCTCAGGAGCAAGTTACATGACAGGTTGGGGGTAAAAAAAGTTGAGTCTTTTTTAACTAATTGCTGCTGAAAAACACTGATAAATTCATATACAGATAATTGTAACTCTTTGTTTCATACCATGCACCCTATATTCCAGCCAAATTGAAGAGTTAAACATGAAAAATTTAGAAGAAAGTAGATGGATAGTTGTTTCAGCTGGAGAGAGGAGCTAACCTTGAACTGTGGAAGAACTGTTTCTTATGACTAGGTGAAGGCTTTTTAAATCATCTGTGAGGTGAAAATAAAACTCAGATGAAGTGGAAGCAACTGGGGGAAATTATGGTGAATGTAAAAGAAGAGCTCACTATTCCCAAATGTATCAGGTTTACTAAGGTCAGCACCCAGAAAAGCAGAAAAGGTAAGAGAGTCAGCTTCAGTTCAACCAGGTGATAAGTCCATAGATGCCTAATCAGGGCAGTAATAGAGGCTGCCATCAGGATGGTCTCAAAGTGCTGTGAGACCTACAAGGTCATTCTGACAAGGGATGAGGGAGAGCCCGAGGAGGTAAGCTGTGAACTGAGCCTGACAGATGATACTGTGAGGACCTCCTTGGACAGATGTTGCAAGAGCAGGGAAGACTCAGAGTCATGTGGACAGAGAGAGTAATATGTCTAGTATTTTAGAATGTAGGCAAAAGCAGGCTCTGGGACAACAGGTAAGCCAGTAGGGTAGGGGAGTAGGGTGGACTGTTGTCCCACTTCAGGGGACATCTGATGGAAGGACCGGAGGTTCTGAGGCACAGTGAGCAGACCACGATCTGAGAAGACCCGCTTGGCTGTATCGTGTAAGACAGATGAACATCGAGCAAGCCCAGTGGGGGTAGAGTAGAGGAGAGCGGCTAGGTTCCAGGTGGGAGGCACTGAGGGCCCAGCCACGAAGGCAGAGATGGAAGAGCAGTGGGGAGGCGGTTAAGCACGGTCTGCTGCCTGCCTGCCCTGAGTGCTCTGGCCCGTTCCGAGTGGAACCTCAGTGGGGCTGCAGCGGAGGAGAGCTGCGGCCAGCAGTCCTGGGGACTTTGTCCTGGGCACACTGCCCTCTTTATGAGAACCCTCGGGAGGCGTTTCTGATTTTGGTGTCAGGAATGATTGTATTTCACCTGAAGAGTTAATTTGCTTTCATCTTTTGGATACTGAATTACGTAAGGATTTTCATCTAGGTGGAAGTTAGGCAGCTTTGTGGGCTGACACTCGACTGATGTACGGGTCCCTCCAGCAGTGCGGTTCTGGGCAGTCACCACAGCAGCCATTTTCTGTCCCCGGGATTTGCTTTTCATCACCTCCTAATTTACTGTGCTGAACCATGCACATCTTTCATATAGACCTTAAGTCCTCTTTGGAATAAAGTGGGAATAAATACACATATCACACCTATGAAATCACTGAAACCAAATAAAAATGACAAAGCCAGTGCTGTAGAAACCATGGAGAAATAAACACACTCACAGCTAATGACGGCAGTTTGGTGTTTCTGAGGCTTGTGTCTAGTGATAGATTGCTATAACTCTCAGATTATTTGTGCTTATTGATCTGTTGATGCCACTCTTGGAAATGTATCAGAGTCATAATCCAGAAGAAAACATCTCCACAAAATTGTCTGTTTCTGTAATGCATAATAATGGAAACAAGGAAGCAACCTCAATGCACTGTGGTAGATGATTAAATAAACTGATTAATAGAATAAAATGTGAAGCCATTAACAATGAATAAGTAGACTAGGTAAATAGAAATGCACACAAAATGTATAAATTATCAAAGCATTGTAGTGTATCCTTGTACAAACATACACCCAGTGAGAGAATTAAAAGAGGTACATATTATTCATGGATAGGTTTTTCAAAGTTACTACAATTTTTAACTACTTTTGGCATTAGTTCCAATACAAGGAGTGGGTTTTGAAAACTTAAAATTTAGAACTGTGGTCATGATCTTTCTTTAGCTTCTAAGCAGCCTCTTTATCCTTTGGTTTCAGGAACTAAGCATTGAGGAACAGTCAGAATTTACTCAGGATTTTTACCAAAATGTGGCTGAAAGAACACAGACTCGTGGAAAAGGTAACATTGTTTAGCCAGCTCGATCTCTTAGCATCTCCCTCTGTCTCTGGGGGGCCTGGTTGGCTCCCCTACAGCACCCTGTGAACTACCCTCCTGACACCCTGGTAGCTGCTGGTGTGTATAACGGTACCTGTGAGTTCCACCATGTGTATCTTCATAGGATAATCAGGGCCATGCATGAGGACTCTACTGCAAAGGGGTTGGGGGGCTTTTCTAAATGGACCCCACCTGGCAGTTCACTTCTTGATGAGTCATTGCGTGTGATGATCTTTTCTTCTGGGGTGTGGGTCAGAAAGGAAAATTGAGCCTCACTGCTTAGAGCTTTAGGTTGTAGGGATTCTTCTCGGGTTCACCCTCTGTTGAGGTGGGACTGCAGGGAGTACTCTGCATGTGCGTTCCTCTGAGAGATCTGCCCCCGTGTGTTAGCACCAGAGAGAGCTCTCAGGCTTCATGGGAAACCTCAGAGAAGCAAGAAACTGAGTCTTGCCAGTTCACCAGTCTTGCTAATCTCAGTGGTTTTCTAATGTAGGAATGAGGTGGCCTGCGCTGAGGGCATCCCACTTGGCAGGGTGTATACCTGTTAAGTTCTGCCAACACAGCTTCTACTACAAGTGGGGCTTCTGTAAAAGGCAGTCTCAGAAGTTGAGATAGTTTTTAAAGGATATTTTTTAACGTAACATGCTTTCGTTTCTAGTCAATTTGTCCTCTGCTATGTAGAAAGTACTATGAAAACACACTCGTAATTTAAAATGTCCATCTTCTCTTGAGCTCTTAAACCCATTTTGGTTTCAGTGCCTCCAGAAAGAGTTGAGAAGATAATGGATCAGATTGAAAAGTACATCATGACTCGTCTCTATAAACACGTGTTCTGTCCAGAAACTACTGATGATGAGAAGAAAGATCTTGCTATTCAGAAGAGGATCAGGTAAGTTTTGTGGAAAAACAGCATTTGAGTTTCAAACCTAGAGAGAAAATAACAGCTGAGGTGCCTACCATCCTTATCATGTAAGTGTCTCTGCAGTGATCAAAGGAAAGGAACGTGGTAAAGTGAGAGGAGTAAAAAGGTTCTTGAGCCACCATCTTGCTTACACATCCAAATCCAGGCAGCTTTAGGCAAGTACTGTGTCCTGTTTGAGATTGTGCCGTATCTCCAGAATTTACCAGGGACAGGAGGACTGAGTTCATGTCTCATGGCTGCTTGTCTTACCAGGCAGGAAACTGTAAATGTCGATAGCAGTGCAGTCGTGTCATTCTTCCCCATCCCTACCAAGGTGCCTGTCATTCAGCCATCCCTCTAACTACAGCTCTCCATGGCACTGAGTGAATAGCGTTTCCCAGAACACCCCATTTTCTGTGTAGAGCCCCAGAAAAACCGTTAGGGACTTGTCCAGCTAAGTGTGGGAGTGGGTCCAAGGCTGGGCATGGCAAAGTGTTCTGGAGGAAAGTGGCTGAGGCACTCCAGATAGGTTCCCAGACAAGGGTTGTTGGTAGATTGGTCCTTGAGGTTGTCACACCAGAAGTGAGGCTCTGTTAATGGGAAAAAGGAAAATAGAGACAAGAGGTCAGAAGCCAGAAATAATTAGATGGGCCTTAGACCGAGAAAAACCAAGAAAGTAGTGCTGGTCAGCAGCAGAATCTTTGGAGTGGAGACGTCACTGGAACATGCACAGTGATCAGGCCCAGGTGACACATGCTTGTTGCTGGATAGAGTCTGAGAAGACGGCACGTGCTTCTCAGATCTTCATTCTTCAGTGCTGAGTGCTTTCCAGTCTTGGAAGCATTATCCCATTTGAACCACTAAACTTGTCTACTGTTCGTCCTGTGGTAAGTGCAGAGGAGAAGTCTCACTTCAGAAGTCTGGCTGCTCTGGGCATATCAGCTCAGCTCCTGATGGGTGCAAGGGTGATGTACATGGGCCTGGGATTGTGTGATGAGGCAGGGGAGCCCTGTGTTCTAAAGGAAATGATAGCATCAATGAGTCCCGTGCTTTCTCAGAATGCCCCTTCACTTCTGCTGCTCTCTTCTCGTAGAGCCCTGCACTGGGTCACACCACAGATGCTTTGTGTCCCTGTTAATGAAGAGATTCCAGAAGTGTCTGACATGGTGGTGAAAGCAATCACAGGTGAGCAAAACTGAGACTGGACACTGGGAGGTTCTCCTCGAAGCTCACGTTCTGCTGTTATTTGTCCATATTGATGTCAGTGAGCAGAAAGTTAGTAAAATCTTTCCAAAAGGCAGACCACCAAAGGCACAGTGGAACACAACGGAAGTGGGTTGCCTGAGTTGGCTGTCAGTTTGAGGAATTTCATGCGTTCAAAGCAGTAGTAGGCACCCTTCCCTCTTTGCACATAGTGACCAAGGTCTCTCACTTCTTGGCCATTGAGCCAAATTGTGGTCAAATGCAGCTGAGTTAATTTCTTTAGACCCAGTTGCATTTTTTTTATTTGAAATCATTTCGGAGAATGGCAAGGTACTCTCCAGGTTAGAGTGACTGCACTAAAAGGATGCTATTTTTTAAATTTTTATTGTGATTTGGGTGAGAGTTTACAGAGCAAATTTGCTTTGCATACAGCAGCTCACATATACTTTGTCTCATGACATTAACTACAATTTCCCACAATGCAACAGCTTCCCTCCCACTTCCTCCCTATAGTTGGCTCTTCCCTGTGTTTATCCCTCCATGCACTCCTGCTCCCGAGTTGTCTCCCTGTGCATACAAGCCCTTCTTTTTTCCCATGATCGATCTCCAAGGAGTATATCTACCTAATGTAAATGTTCAGCTCATGTCCCTGTCTTTTGTTTGGCTGGAAGCCACAGGAGTGGGTTCAATTCCAGACCTGAAGGGCAGCTAGGGGCCATAGTCTCAGTGGTTCCATCAGGCTCTATCAGACTAGCAAACTTGGTCTCTTTTTTTTTTTTTTTCCTTTAATGATTTTGAGTTTTGTTCCACATTGTTTCCCCTCTCTATCCAGGATCTCTTACATAGATCCCCCCCAAGTGGTTGACTATGGTAGCCGGGCACCATCTAGTTCTTCTGGTCTCATAGTTGTATAGACTGAGAATTGCATGGTGTACCAGTCACTCAGACTAATTGTTTCCATGCATCTTTGGTTTTCTTCATTCTTCTTTGCTGTGGATGAGGAGAGACCTGTTGTTGCATCTAGATGGCCACTTGCAAGTTTTTAAGATCCTTGTCACTACTCACCAAAATAGGATGTGGAACAGTGTTTTGTGTAGTATATTATGCCAGTTGAGCTTGATGTCACTTGATGCCCACAGGTCCAACTACTTGCTCCCTCTGGGTAGCTGAGTATGGCCAAGAAGTGAATACAACCTTGTCCCTTGTCAGCTCTACCATATACCTGGAAATTCTTACAGAACATACAGATGCACTTCTAGAAACATCGTCTGCCAACCCTATACATAGTCTTGGGCATACTCTCCCCTTGCATAGACATACCTAATAGTTCAGCCTGTAAACCCATCTATCCACCTGTATATCAGTGTTTGCCTTCACTGACAGCCCTGGGATTGTCAATGTATGTGCAAAAGGGTTCATCTTTTGTTGTCTGTCCCATGCACTGTCTATGTCTTCTTCTTTCTCAGTGCCGCCACGTTGATCACTCACATTTGGTACATTGCAAAAGGATGCTTTTTGTTGCTTATTTTTTATTTTTTAAAATTTTTATTGTGATTTGGGTGAAAGTTTACAGAGCAAATTCCTTTCCTTGTTTGTTAATCAGAGATGTATTTTGGATTATTTTCTCGTTTGTTCAAGAAGTAAATGAACAACCTTAGTTCATGTGGCTCTGCTGTTCTGGGTAGGTCCACGCTCCTAATGAGCTTCTTGTTTCCTGTTCAGGGGAAGCACCCAAAATGTGAAATAGAAAAATTCAAAAACAAAAACCAGCAACCCTTCTACTGAAAGGAGTTTCTAACCTTGGCCAGCTTTCCTTTAGTTAAGGAGAAGACTCAAAGGCCTGCTCATGCAGAGATGATGTTCTGCAGCTCACGGGGAAGAGAGTGGGTCAGCTGATGGCAGCAGGGGTGGAGGAGGGCCGCGGAGTGGATTTCTTGTGTTTGTGAGAGCCGGATACTCCCCCCCATGGGCTTTGGGGAGAAATGGACATTTGTGGAAAACGCCTCAGCGCCTCACACAGCTGTTGCAGGGACTGTATTGTCCTTACAACAGCAAGTAGGTCTTTACTCCAAGCATTCAGCTATTGGCTGAGTCTCCCACTCTCTCAGGTTACACTTCCCTTTGTAAGTCTTCACATTTCAACTACTGTTTCTCAGTGAATTCTTCTCTGATTTCCCATGCATGTTCTGGAGGTAGATCTAACAGGCCTGCATACATGCAGTCATCTTTGTTGTTCAGCGCATTTCTGCTGGGCTGTATCACAGGTCTTAAGAATGGACTCCTTTGGGTCAAGGCACACCCCCACCCCTGCCTAAGGGAACAGCATAAGAGATAGAAGGTTGGGGGTAGTTTTCCCAGAAAGTCATGGACACCATACGGATCTAAAAGCCAGGATATGAGCCTTCTACTTAGTTTTCCCAAAGACTTTTACTAGAAAGTTCAAGACCATCTGTTCTTTTCTGAAAGCTGCAGGTCAAACCTTATCAAACCAGAAACTACAAGTGCTGAGCTATTGTTTACTGAAAAAGAACTAAAAATGATGATTTCGGTACATCAGTAATTTCTTAACAGAATTTGAGAGGTGAAGCTTTTTTCTCAATGCATCTGAGATGGAGGTTCAAGGGATATTTTGATAGTGAAAAAGGTCAACCACACAAGTTTAGAAGCCACCTTATTCTTTGTTTCTTGCAGCCCCATACCTTGCCAGCCCAAAAGTGGGTACATTCCAGCTCTGGGAGGACTAAAGCATTTGCTTTTTTCCTAACCTAAAATTGCCTGCCTACGTCATCAGAGAGGACATGACCTACACCACTGGTCTTTCTTAATTGGTTGTTGTCAGGTGCCATTGAGTCAGTTCCAACTCAGAGTGACCGTGTGCGCAACAGCCGACTCAGAGTGACCGTGTGCGCAACAGCCGACTCAGAGTGACCGTGTGCGCAACAGCCGACTCAGAGTGACCGTGTGTGCAACAGGACAAAGCACTGCTAGTCCTGTGCCATCCTCAGATGTGTCACCGTGGTGATTACCAACATGGGCTATAGAGTCAGATGGGCAGCTTCACAGCCCAGCTCTCTCACTCTGTCATCCAGGGAGAGTCAGAACCGGCCCGAGCCTCAGTTGCCTCATCTCCAGACTAGTACCCACTGCATCAGGTTTTCTGAGGATTCAAAGCATCATGCTTGTAGAGTGTAGCGTGGGGTGCCTGGCTCACAAGTAGGTTCTACAAGGCTGAGCTCGTATTTCCATTTGTGAGGCCAGAGGTTTCACTCACTGGTGGCCCCTCTGTAGCCTGGACGGTGCTTCCCCACAGCTACTTTCTCACTGGCTGTCTTTACAGATATCATTGAGATGGATTCAAAGCGGGTACCTCGCGACAAGTTAGCCTGCATCACCAAGTGCAGCAAGCACATCTTCAATGCCATCAAGATCACCAAGAACGAGCCGGCCTCTGCCGATGACTTCCTGCCCACGCTCATCTACATCGTTTTGAAGGGCAACCCCCCTCGCCTCCAGTCCAACATCCAGTACATTACTCGCTTCTGCAACCCCAGCCGGCTGATGACGGGAGAGGATGGCTACTATTTCACCAACCTGGTGAGTGTGTAATGCCCTAATGGTGCAGTGGTTGATGTACTTAGCTGCTAATCAAAAGGTGTTGGCAATGGTTCAAGCCCACCAGTCTGCTTTTGTAAAGATTGACAGCCTTGGAAACTCTGTAGCGCAGTTCTGTTCTATCCTAGAGGGTTGCTGAGTTGGAATTGACTTGATGGCAGTAGTTTGTTTTTTTTTTAATTTTGGTTTGGTAAGCAGGTGATGCCCTGTGTGATGGAAACCACCACTAAGGGGTTTATTTCGGGCATGTGGCAAGCCACACACAGACCCTGTGATGAGATCTTGCCCCTCGGAGCTGAAGAAACCTGCCCCACATCACAGGGTGCAAATGACCAGGCCATGCAGACACCTGCCCCCAGACATCCCTCCCTCCAGTACTGATCAGAGTTCATGTGACCAGGCCATGTAGGCAGCCCTCCAGTTCTGACCAGTGTGCACATGACCAGGCCGTGCAGATACTCCCCCAGTTCTGACCAGAGTGCACGTGACCAGGCCATGTGGACATGTCTCCTTATTACTGACCAGAACTCACATGACCAGGCCATGCAGACACTCCCCCTAATTCTGACCAGCATGCATGTGACCAGGCCATGCATACACCCTGTCCCAGTACTGACCATAGCTCACACAACCAGAGCATCCAGGCACTCCACCCAGTACTGACCAGAGTGCATGTGACCAGACCATGCAGAACTCCCAGTATTGAGCAGAGTTCGTGGCTTCCCTTGAGAGACAAGGACAGACATGTGACTAGCCTCCCCACTGTTGTGCATTGCTCCTCAGGCCTGGAGTCAAAGAGCCATTCACCTAGTCAGGCTGTTTGTCCCTTGATGAAGTCAGAGCTTGGCCTGAGATTCGCTTCTGAAAGACTTGGGAGTTTTATCTCTGCAAATTGCTTCTTAGAGCTAAACACTGAGGTACTTGAAGAATGAGCCAATTCCAACTGGTACACCATGTGATCCATAGCCTATATGACTGTGAGACCTGAAGAACTAGATGGTGCCCAGCTGCCGTTGTCAGCCACTCGGAAGGGGGATCTATGTAGGAGATCCTGGATAGAGAGGGAAAACATTGTGGAACAAAACTCAAAATTATTTGGAAAAAAAAAGGGGGGGCTGGGTTTTGCTGGTCTGATAGAGCCTGGTGGAACCCCTGAGACTATGGCTCCTAGCTGCCTTTCAGGTCTGGAATTGAACCCACACCTGTGGCTTCCAGCCAAACAGAAGACAGGTATATGAGTTGAATATTTACCTGAGATAGATACGCTCCTTGGAGAGAACAATCATGGGAGAAAGAAGGGCTGTTTATGCACAGGGAGACAGCTCAGGGGGCAGGAGTGCATGGAGGGATGGACACAGGGAAGAGGTAACTATGGGGAGGAAGTGGGAAGGGAGCTGTTGAATTGGGGTAAATTGTAGTCAGTGCTCCCTTTAGCATCTCTTACAAGGTTGGTCTGGTTTTAACAAATTCCCTTAATTTCTGCTTATCTGAAAATGTCCTAATTTCACCATCCTATTTAAGGGACAGTTTTGCTGGGTACACAATTCTTGGTTGGAAATTTTTCTCCTTCAGTGTTACATATATACCATCCCATGGTATATATCTTCTTGCCTGCATGGTTTCTGTCAAGAAATCCAAGCTTAGTCTTATTGGTTGCTCCTTGTAGGTAACTTTTCGTTTTTCCCGTGCTGCTCTCATGATTCTCTCTTTGTATTTGGTTTTGATGAGTTTGATGATGGTATGTCTGGGTGATTTTCTTTTGGGGTCTTTCCTGTTTGGTGTTCGTTGGACTTCCTGAATGGATATATTCTCATCTTTCATACCAGGAAAATTCTTTTCCAACAAATCTTCCACAATTTTCTCTGTAGTTTTGTTTGTCTCTTCCTGTTCTAGAATTCCAGTTACATGTAGGTTATTCCTTTTGATGGTATCCCCCATTTTGGTTTGATCTTTTTTCTGACTGATCCCTTTCCAAAAAAGTGTTCTGGTATTTGCCTTCAGTCTCTCTAATTCTGTCTTCCATTGATTCAATTCTGCCCCTTTGTCTATTCAATGTCTTACCTGTTTCTGAAAATTTGGTATTAATCTAGATTTCTATGTGTAGATTTTGTATCATATCTAATTTTTCATTTATTTTGTCATTTTGTTCTTGTATTGTTTTTCAAAATTGTTCTAGGGTTTTCTCTGTGTTTTCCTTGATCTGTCTTTCAATTCGTTGAAGATACCTAAATATAATTCTTTTGAATTCCTTATCAGGGAGTTCCAATGCTGCGTCTTCCTCAGGGATGTGTTTTGGGTCTGTATCCTGGTCCCTTTGTTTCTCCTGCTTTATAGTGCTTCTTTGTGTGGACTGTGATGCTCTGTTGTCTCCAAGGCATTGTGCCATTTTTGTGTTTATATTTAATTGGTGATTGTAAGAGTGACTTGCCCACGATTTTAGTTTTCTTTGTTTTGTTTGTATGTTATCTATGCAAACAGGGTACTGTGCTCCTCTATTCACCAGTTGACAGCACTTATACACTCACCACCTGTCTCCCTTCCTGTGATCAGCCTCTCGTATGTCCCTGCTGACGTTGGCAAACAGAGCCTATTCCTAGGTCCCTGGAATCTGAATGAGAACACTATCACTTTACAATCCAAAATGGTTGCCACTTGTAAAGATTCAAAATGGCTGCACCCTTGGTCATTTTAAATATCCAAAATGGCTGCCGCTTGTAAACAATCAAAATGGCTGCGCCCTCTGGACAGTGGAAAGTCCACAGCTCATGTTGTCTGCCTCCTTGGTGTTTCCCTTCCTAGTCATAGGCCACCAGTGCAGTCATCCCTGCAGCCCTTGGTGACCAGGGCTGATCTCTAAGTCAATTCTCAGGTCACAACACCACTTGGAAATATTCAGTCTGTTGGTCCTGTCAGAGTAGCTGACAGTCCGACCGTTTCTGTACTCACTGTTTTTGTTCAGTTTTTTCCACTAGTTGGTGCCTAATCCACTTCTGTATAGTTCCTTTCAAAGCGCAGAGCTCCAGGATTGTCTTTTGTATCTCTGTCAATTGGTTCTTCTTTTCTTTGTTGAAGAGGGTCTGCGTCACTTGTCTGCCTATTCCTCCGTCTTACCAGAAGTGTCTGTATTTGTAATCTTTTTATCTTTTCCTTAAAATGGATTCCCGAAATTGTGTAAGTGTTGATCTCTGAGTGCTGGGGCCCGCCTCTTACTGACTCGTCTTCAGCTGCTGTCCTCACTGCCTGTTACTGGGGTGCTGGCTTCTTGGAGCATGGTGTGCAGGCAGTGAGATCGGGACTGACACTTGCTCTCTCCTTGCCGTGTCTCCTTCCTTCTCGTCCCTTCCAGCATGTGGTGGTTGAGTTGGTCCGAGTGGGTGAGGTGGAAGCACTCCTTTTTCTCACCATGTGTAGAGCAGGTACTTTGACTTCTGGAGAAGAGCCTTTTGGATTCATCTCTTCTGTGGAGAGTTGAGAGACTGGAGGTCAGAGAAGGGCAGAGTGGGCAGGATAGCGGAAGTAGGCCCGGGAGTGAGAAGGCGGTCATTGTTGTCGACGAGGTTACTGCTGGCTCATCTCCCAGCTTCCCGGCCCCTTCACCTGGGCCTTCACTTCGCTTGTGCCTTCTCTCATCTACTTCTTGCCTGACTCAGCATCTGGCCCGCTGCCAACGAAATTGCTCCGGCAAAAGTGAAAAATCTGTCGGCTGCCAAATCGCATGGTTTTAGTCTTCATCTTTCTTCACTTCTCTCAGTAGGCCTCTGTTCTGGGACTTCTGTCCCTTGGTAGGTTCCTTGCCCCCGCCTCCTGTCCTTGGTAGGCTCCATGTCCCCCACTCCCGTCTCCTTTCAGTGGTAGGTTTTGTGTCCCCCCATACTCTTCTCCCATCCTTAACGGGCTCTGTCCTCTGCTCCCTGGATTGTGTTGTTCCCTGGAGTCCTCTCTGCATCTCTCCCCCTGGGCTGTCTCCTCTGCTCTGTTACCACGTTTCCTGACTTTGCACTGAGCTCTCCATGTTTAATTTGTTCAAAACTGAAATTGTTTCCCCATCAGATGTTTTCTCTTCCTGTATTCCCTGTTCCTATTAGTGACAATATCATATGTCTGTTCACCTAGGCCAGGGACTTTAAAACTGCTTTGGCTGCCATTTCCTCTCCCATGTAATGGAGGGGGCTGCATGCTTTCCATACTCAGAATATGGCCTGTGTGGCAAGGTCAGGTGGGCCTATTTGCCATTTCCTCTCAGCTGGTGGATTGGCTGTAATAGATTTTCTAAGTGCTCCTTAAAGAGATGATTTGCTTTTTCATGAGACATGATGCAGTCCCTCTGAACAACTTTCTCAGCCAGTCCTGGTAGCTGCCTGTGTTGCCCTGTTACCTTGCATGGTTTTGTGTTTTTCTTTTTTTTTTTTTTTTAATTGCTTTGTTTTTTTGATGTGAATATGGTATGTGCTCATTGCAGAAAAATTCAGTCAATGTACGAAACTAACGGACATCTGTTTCATGTGGCACTGGCCCTGCATTTCCAGACTGGTCATCACTCCCACTGTACCTTGCTTATTACAGACCATGGCAGAGGGTGTCAGTTGAGTTATGTTAAGTAACTTCCCCAGGGTCACAGAACTGTCGCTGGTGAATGATGGAGGTGACAGCCCAGTCTGGCTGATCTCAAAACTTGTTCTCTGAATGAGTCTGTTACAGTACCTGTTTGAGTGTTGGTGGCTTTCCTGACATGACACGTGACATTTTCTCTTCAGTGCTGTGCCGTGGCCTTCATTGAAAAGCTAGATGCCCAGTCTCTGAACCTGAGCCAGGAGGATTTTGATCGCTACATGTCCGGCCAGACCTCTCCCCGAAAGCAGGAACCCGAGGCCTGGGCCCCAGACGCTTGCTTGGGTGTTAAGCAGATGTACAAGAACTTGGATCTCTTGTCTCAATTGAATGAGCGACAGGAAAGGATCATGAGTGAAGCCAAGAAACTGGAGAAAGACCTTATAGACTGGACGGACGGGGTCACCAGAGAGGTCCAAGACATTGTGGAGAGATACCCACTTGAAATCCCGCCCCCAGATCAACCTTTCGCAGCTATCGACTCGGAAAATGTTGAAAACGATAAGCTCCCTCCACCGCTGCAGCCTCAGGTCTATGCAGGATGATGCCGTTGGCGTGTGACACTGGTGCGGCCTCAGTTAGAGCCAGCCCTTGCTGAGTGGGCTCTAGGATCCAGCTTACTTGCTTCTAAGTGTCAGCAGTTGTAAAGGTACAGTTTTGTGGGGATTGTTCGTTGGTTTGGTCCGTTTTGTTTTGTATTTTCTGACAGAGGAAGGTTAGTAAATAATAAAATATTATTTATTTGTGTTAATAGAATAGATTCACTTAAGGCTAGTGTGAAACTTTCATCAAAATCTGCTTTTTCTCCATGATTTTCCTGTGTGCTTCCTCCGAGGCATGCACTATGCACTGTGGTTCCGTTTGGGGTAAATAATTGCCTTTTAAAGGATCAAATGAATGATACAGAGTGTATGTTTGAGGAGATTCAATGGTACCACTGTCCCCGCAGTCTGAAATAATTTTGTAACTGTAAAGATAGAAGATATGTCAATAAGTACATATGTAAAATTGTAAATATGTAAAAACAAGGAATGGTGTCTGCTGTGCATGGCATTTCATGTGTGATTTTGTTCGTTTAAAATGAAGCCTGTGGAATGTTTGCCTTGACCCCATTTTACTGGGTTTGCCACACTGACAGGAATGCGGAAGTGCTTAGACGTACTCCCATTAAAACGGTGACTCCATTTTGAACAGGTCAGTCCTGATTCAAGGTCCTCTGTCTTAAGAGACTGTGACACTCGCAGTTGAGATCGTTTCTAAAGCTGCTGCTCAGTGTGGGTCACTGCAGACTTTGAACATGCGTGCATCTTTTCCCCTGTTCGTTCCACAAATACGATTTGAACTCCTTGACGAACAGGACTAGGCCCGGGGTGTTGGTCAAAAGATGGGTGAGTAGGAGCCTGATGGTGAAGCTGGTGCAACGTCCCTGAGAGCTATGAAGTGCGCAGGTGCCTCCGGTCTCCCTGGTGAGTTCTGACTCATGGACCACCATGTTCAGGGTTTCTCACAGTTAGGCCTGCTGATATTGGGGGCCTGAGAAGTTGGCTGTGGGGCCGTGGTGTGCACGGAGGGATGTTTAGCAACGTCCCTGACTCTCACCTTCCCGATGTCATCAGCATTCCCTCCTCACTCCCAGTTGGGAAGAAATGTCTCCTGACTTGCCAGATGGTCCCTGGGGACAGAATCGCCGCCCCCCCCCCCCCCATTGAGAGCCACTGGTCAATTTTGGAAGCAAGGAAAGCCATTAACTTGGTGTTACAAAGACACTGTATTAAATGCCCAGTGTGGTGCTACCTGCTTCCTCATCCCAGGAGGCTGCACGGCCGTCTGCAGGGCGGGCCTGCTGCATCCTGTGGACCCTTTCACATGCCATTGCAGTTCTCCTCCTGCTCTGGGCCTTCTGTGCATTATGAGCATTGCTGCAAAACCGTGAGCAGATCTTAAACAGCTCACCCGGAGGTCAGGGGAGACCCCCTTGCTTCCCAGTATCTCCCCAGTACAGTCAAACCTGCAAAAGCCAAAACTTGTGTAAGATAGAAACCCGCTAGAGAAGCAAATATTTCCCACTAAACGAGCAATAGAAAGGGGTGAGGCTGCACCCTGTCAAAGGCAGAGAACTTGTGAGACCCACAAAAACAAGGCAGTCCTGTTGTGTTCCGGCTTTCACAGGTTTCACTGGAGTACACTACAAGTGTGTAGTGTAATTTTTGGAGTGAAACTAGGGCAGGTATCAAACTTTTTATCCTTTACTTAGAGCTACTTGAAACCTCTCAGAAGATCAGCACATGTAGTGTCTTAAAGCACTGAGTGCACACAGTACTGGGGTGCTTGGGGCTCACGGCAGGCGACAGGCTCCTTCCTGCCCGGTGCCGTGGGAGCATGCTCAGAGGACATCCTGGGCCCACATGATTTTCATGGGAAGCTGTCCTTTTCTTTTTCCTTTATTTTCTACGTCTTTTTTAGGTGCTAATCCAGGGGATCCATAGTCTTAATTCCCTGGGAATTGACAGTTCTTTTAGTTGTACATTTATATCTGGTAACTAAACTGCATATCAGTCCCACAAAGCTGACTCCTTTGGGTTTCCTGCGTATCTTTAAAATAAGTGATGAAGTGGTTTTTTTTGTGTATGTCTCCCACTGGTCCATTGTTCAGATACAGACTTTTGCCTCATGTAGAGGGTTATATCTGTCCTAAGTCAGCATCAAAACTGATCAGAGCTTCCATTCTCCCAGCAAGGAGGTGTTGCAATTTTATCTATTGTAAACGTGATTGGAATAAATCTTTGGAACGGAAGTCCTTATCAATAAAAGTTTGTGATTCACCCCTCTTTCCCAAATAGTTGATGTTTGGCTCTTCATTTTGGGACAGGATGCATTATTAGAAATATCCTCAGTTGACAGAAGTTTCCTTTTTAAGCCACAGCCAACATTCCCACACTTAATGGTAAAACAGAGATATTTCAGTGAAACTTGAGAAAACTGTTGGCTGTCAGCCCCAATTCACATTGTTCTGGAAGTTCTACTCAAACAGAAGCAGAAGTCGATAGAAAAGAAATTCATACAGTCGATGCAGAGGTTTAGCCTGGTGGTTGAGAACATGAATTCGGGAGCCAGGGGTCTTGGGTTTGAATGCTAACTGTGCCACTTGTTTGCTCTTTGGCCTCGAGCAAGTTACTTAATCTCTTGGCTGTAAATTAGCAATAGTCCCTGCTTCGTGCAGTTGTTGAGGATTAAAAACTTGGAACAGCACATAACAATGGTAAGTGTTCACATTTAGCTGTTATTTGTAGATGATTTTCTAGAAACCCAAGGAATTGCTATTAAAACTATTGTGATGATGATGATGATGTGACTTGTTGGTGAGTCGGCTCCTTCTCAATGGTGACCTTACATACACACACTGAGACATCACGCAATCAGGCGCCACCTTCGTGGTCCCTGCTCGTTTGAGTCTGTCGTTGAGCCTAGTGTTGAAGCTGATCACTAAAGTGGTGAAATGTGAAATGATAACATAGCCTTAAAAAGCTGTACAAAATTACTTTCCTGTAGCTCTTTACTAACAAGTTAGTGAATGGGAAAAATACATTCACAGTGTTGTGTGTTGTGTTAGGTGCTGTTGAATCAGCTCTGACTCCTGATGACCCTGTGCTCAATAGAACAGAACTCTGCCCCATCCTACGCCATCCTTACAAGCCTTGCTGAGCTTGAGCCCATCGTTGTAGCCTCTGGTGTCAGTCCATCTTATTGAAGGTCTTCCTGTTTTTCACTGACCCTCTACTTTATCAAGAATGATATCCTTCTCCAGGGAATGGTCCCTTCTGACAACATGAACAAGATGTGTGAGACGAAATCTCACCATTCTCTCTTCTAAGGAGCATTTTGGCTATACTTCTTCCAAGACTGATTTGTTTGTCCTCTGGAAGCTTGTGGTATAGTCAGTATTCTGTGCCAGCACCCTAACACGGAAGCATCAATTCTTCTTCAGTCTTCCTTATTCATTGCCCAGCTTTCACATGCATATGAAGAGGTTGAAAATACCATAGTTTGGGTTCTGTTCACAATAGAAACATATGAATTACCCAGAAGTGACAAAGGAAGTTCTTGGATGGTGCAGACAGTTAATGTGCTCGGCTGCTAACTCAAAGTTCGGAGGTTCAAGTCCACCCAGAGGCACCATGGAAGGAAGGCCTGGAGATCTCCTCCAGAAACAGCTAATGAAAACCCTACGGGTGACAATAGTCCGATCCACATTCGATCATGAGGATGGTGTGGGACCAGCCACTGTTTGGTTCTCTTGTGTGCACAGGGTCTCCCTGTGTCGGGCCAAGTTGAGGGCAGCCGATAACAACAGTGTTCTTAGGTGCAATGATGGTCTCTGTGTTTGAAGGAAATGTCTTTGCTTCTAGGAGTTAAAATCCTGAACTATTAGAAGTATCATGATGTCTTCAAGTTAGCATCAAGTGATTCCTAAAACATGTGTCTACATACACGTAAAGCCTTCATACCAAGATGTCAACAATTGTTGACTCTAGATGAAGGGTATACAAGTGATTGTTAAACTGTTCTTTCAGGTTTTCTGATGCTTGGAATTTTTTTTAAATAAAACTTGGGCAGGAAAATTCAAGCACTCACCCAGGCTGGGGCTTTAATTGTAACAGATACCTGAGTCCCCTGTAAATGTGCATTTCTAGTTCATGCCTCTCCCACATCTTATTTCTCCTAGCTTCTCAACAGCTGCACTTGGATGCCTTGTGTCCATTTTAAACTCATCATGCCCCAGACAGCTCCAGTTCTTCCCCAGAAAACCTCTGCCTGCAGCCTTCCTGGTTGCATTGATAGCCTTGCCGTTGTCTAGTTGCTCAGGCTGGAGAGCCTGGATTCATCCCAGTTCTTCTGTTTCTCTCATGCCCTGCATTCAACTCACCTGCTTCCAGAATGTCCAAAAGCTGATGATTTCAGACCCCACAGCCTCCCAAGCATTCTTCCTCCTTCCTCTCTTGTCCCCCTGCTGTTTATCTCGACCCAAGACCAAGTCATCTTTTAGAATGAAGGCCGGATCACGTTGTTCCTTTGTTCAAAACCCACCGTGGCGCTCCCCGTATCATTCAGAAGATAAAATGGCCGAAAGACCCTATATGACCTTGTCCCAGCTTCTCTCCCTGACCTAACCCCTTAGGACTCTTCACTTCAGCACACTAACCTCTTGGCTGTTTCTCACATTCCACACGCACTCCCACCTCAGCGCCTTTGCTCCAGCTGTTCCCCCAGATGTCAGTGTGTTTGCCCCCTTTGCCTCCTTCCAGTCTTAGCTCAAATACCACCTCCGTGAGGCCCATCCTGGCCACTCCGTTTAAAATTATAAGCCCCAAACCTGGAATCCTCTTCGTATTTCCTTTCCTACATTTCTATTTCCTTTTCTGTCATTATTATCACTCTGTTCCTTACTTGCTTTGCCGTCTGGAGTTGTTTCTTCGATCGGAACATCTAATGAGGACAGAAGGAACCTATCTCTACTCTGTTCAGTATTATATCCCAGCTCCCAGTA